TTTATTAAGTTGATGATTTATGTAATTTTTTAAATTGATAATATTATTTATTTCTTTGCTGGATGTTATTGATAATAATTAGACCAGAAATATTTTCCATATTTATTTATTTTTAATTACTTTTAAATCTGTATTTGTAGTTGATTTATTTCTGGACGGGTTCAGTTACTTAACCTTTAAAGTGTAAAAAATCAATTTGTATTGATTGATTGGTTTGGTTGGTTGATGAAGTTTTTGAATTGAAAAGATGAAGTGAGAATCTCCTTTAAAGTGATGGTTGTGATTTTTCAGGTGTGGTTCTGTTGAGTGTTTCTGAGCAGTCAGCGTCTTTTTCCTGGTTTCTCGTCTTCAGTTTGATTTTAACTTCAGTCTGAAGCAGAAAGTCTTTTCCAGCCCAGTGATGTTTTATAAACCTTTAAACCTGAAACATGTTTCCACTCCATCGTTTGGACTTTTCTCGGTTGTTTGGTGGAGTTCTGGTTCTGTCCTACTCAAATCCTGACCTCTGAGCTCTGCATGTATGCGTAACCAAACAAAGTGAATCTGTTTGTTTTCTTTACTTTCAGGATTCTCAGGAGGAAATTAAAGTGTAAAATGTCTGAAAAATGTAATTTAAAGGTTTCTCTGATGCTTCAGTCGAGGCTCATTAATATTCCTACCAGAGTTTAGATGAGGTCGAAACATCTGGGTTTTTTCTTCTGTCACAGGAAGCCCTAATGGTTGTTTAGTTATGGGAAAAACTAAGTACACCCTTTCAACATGATAAAAATGATCCAGACTTTAGAGCCATTTTTATCTTAATGAAAAAAGATTAATTGAAAAAGCTGCATGTCAAATTAAGGTCTTAAAATGTCTTAAATTAATTTTAAAATGCAAGTTAGCTTTAAATATGCTAATCACAGGTTTGCATGAAATATCTAAACAGATAGGTGTCCATGCATCCTTAAAAAGTCTTAAATTCCTAAAAATCAAGGCCTTAAAATGTCTTAAATTAAGTTAAAGAGTGTAAGTTAGCCTTAAGTACGTTAATCACATCTTAAATTTTGTTGTTGCTGGATTATTTAATGGTTTTAGGTTTGGTTATGATGATCAGTTCTTGAATCAAGAGACAAACGAGAAGCAAGAAATAAACAAATTTGTTGTTAAAACAAGAAACGAATGACAAACTTTCTTATCTTAATGAAATAAAACTTATCTCTTTATAATGAGAACTTTTCTCATTTTGCATCTCGTTTTAAGATTTTTAAGTCTTGTTATAAGTTTCCTGTTGTAACAAAATGCTGCTCCTGAATTCATTTATTTCACTATGAAATGCATAAATGTATATATATGCTTTCTGTTGCTTAATAAAAACCAACAGAAGGAGAAACTTTTTCACTCGCAGCTTCTAATAATATTAACCCTGACATATCGCAGCTCGTTATTGCCTGAATTAAATCTATTTTGGAATCGGATCTAATTCACCTAAACGGTTTTAAAATGTGATTTAATGAAAGTTTTCCCTCTGGTTGTGAGTCAGAAAGTGAAATATTCAGGTCAAACCACTTTAAGGATCCTGGAGGCGAAGAAACAAACAGGATGTTCTGTTTCTGCTGACCTGAGGCAAAATGGCCGCCGCACATCCAGTCAGCTGACCGGTCACATGACCTCTAACTCGATAAGCAATGAACCAGACGGAGAGAAAGAAACAGATTGAGTGTTTCTCACCATTGTTGGGATTTTAACAGCAGAGTAAATTCTTAAAATGAGCAAAAATCCAGAAATAAACCAGTTTTATAGAAAATGGAGCCATAGATCCGCCGCCCGTCTGTCCAGATCTGTTTATGTAGATAAAACGTCCAGGAGGGAAATACTAGCATGTTTCCACTGGCTGGCACACTTCTGCTAATGCGCTAATAGCAAAGCTAACTTTTCATTTAGCGCTTTTGCTAACTTTGTAAACCTTTAGCGCTCTTAGCTTTCCCTAAAATCCCAGATAAATTACAAAGAGCTAATTTTACTTTCACAACTGTATTTCTAATAAAAGATCACTTCCATGTCTTGTTTTTAGAATTTCAAAAATTAGTTTTAGGAGTATTTTTTATTTTTAGATTGAAAAATATCTTATTTCTTTATTTTTCTACGTTTTCTTGAATTTATTTACAATTAATGATTTTTATTCATGCTAATTTTAATTTTCTTTTTTATCTCTGTTTTGATGGATCATGTTTATTTGTACTGCTTATTTCTGGATATTTTTATGTTTTGTAATGTGAAGTATTTTTGTTGCAGGAACTGGGTCGTCATTTCCTGTTTGGTTTTCTGAACCGGCTCAGATGGTTTTGTCCCCATAAAGCAACGTTTTCAGTGTCAGCAGCGACCCGCCCTCCGTCTGTAGCGAGGCTAATGCGTGTTCTGTGTTTGATCGGGTTTCATGTGTCTGGATGTGATGACGGTTCTGGTTCTGAACAGTGTCGTTCGTGTCGGACCGGCCTGAATGTGATGAGCCGGTTTGGTTTCCATGTTTCGGCCTGTTGTGTTCAGGGAAACGTGTGAATCTGGACGCTGCTCTGCAGCCATAATGAATGAAACAAACTGATTGGTTGTCTGGTTCTGGTGAAGTCGCTCATCAAACTGTAAAGTTTGTTCATTGTGTTTTTCTTTATAACTTTGTATTTTTCTGTGTTTGTCATGCAGAGCCCGTTGAACCGCCTCGCTGCTGAAACTCGCTCTACAAATAAAACTTCCTCTCCTTTGGTTTGTTTTCCTCCAAGCTGACTTCCTGTTTGGTTGGTAAATAATGACTGTTGAGTTGGACTGGACTAATCTGTGGAATATCTCAGATCATCTTTATTCCCTCCTGCTGGATCATTTTCAGGTTTTTATGTCTTGTGAGGTTCAGTTGGTGAGGATGTCGGCCTCAGAGCGTCAAGGCGCCGCGCAGCAGTGAATTATTCACCGTGAATGTTCCAGACTCTGATGTTTCTGCTGTTTCCTCTGGAGACGCTTCAGGACAACCTGCTGCAAACCGTCTGGGCGTCCTGAGTAACTGAATAGTTAAAGGCCAGCGCTCATCAGTTATCGATCTGCGGCTTCGAAGGACAGATTGTTAGCGACAGCAGGAGATGGAAAACAAATTAGTCCTGTGATCAGGTTAGGTTGGACCGGAGGACCCATCAGTCAGACCTAAAGGTCCAGCTGACCTTTCAGAAAATATTCACTGTTGGGGAACGGATGTTAAACTACAGTTAGAGAGGAAAGTCAGGCTGCCATCTTTAATCCAAAACGCTCCTCACTCTGTCTGGTTCACGTCTCTGTGGCAAAAAGAGACAAAGATCCTGATGAAACGCTGGTGGAAACCAGAGGTCGGCATCGCTAACGAGAGACTTAGCTGTTCTAATGTCTGAAGAGCTAATCATAAACTTTAGTTCTGCTAAAGCTAAAAGGCTAACAACACAGTATTTAGCAAAAGCTAATGCTAAGTCGCTAATCATAAACTTTAGTTCTGCTAAAGCTAAAGTGCTATAACAACACAGTATTCAGCAGAAGCTAATGCTAAGTGGCTAATCATAAACTTCAGTTCTGCTAAAGCTAAAAGGCTATAACAACACAGTATTTAGCAGAAGCTAATGCTAAGTGGCTAATCATAAACTTCAGTTCTGCTGATGCTTTTGAAGTTTTGGTTTTTGACTGTTTAGATTTTTTTAAGTAGTCATCTGTTTATATTCATGCTCTTATTTTGAAGTCTGCTTACACAGCAGTCCTGTTTCCTGTCCTTAATGTTCTTTTATTTTTTAAAGAAACTTTATTGAACTAGTGGCAACAACAGACATTCAGCAGAAACGTTCAACACTAACATGTTTTTATTTCCCACTGGAAGCAGGAGGGTGTACTTACTTTTCCTGCTCTGTTTTTGTTTAGGGAATAATGTCATTATGAAACCTGTTGCATATTATTTGAGTGAAGATATGAATAATTTTAGAAGCTGGTCCTGCTGTTGAAGATGCATTAATTTAAAAGAATAAATCAGATTTTTCTTTTAGATTTTCCTGCAGGTCCTGATTGAAACGCTGCAGGTTAAATGTCAGGAGGCTAAATTTGTCTCAGAGTGACGGCTGGATGGCGTCATCGTCTGAACTGCAGGCAGAACGTCGCTGCCCCGTAATAAAGCCCCATATTTAACACGCTGCAGTCAGCTGGTGGACCAGAGTCCCATGATCTGAACCAGAACTCCCTGCATGAAGGATTCGCTCATCTCTGCAAATAAAACCTGATGGAAAACTTGATTCTCATCTCAATAAGAAGCAAAAGTTACTGAAAAAGGTTCAGATTGTCTTTTTGAGTGAAGGATCTCGTTTCCTCTTTCCTCCTGGACTCGGTCGGTGTTTTCCCACCAGCTCCTGTTCTGGTCCAGTCGGCCCAGCAGGACAGCAGCTGCTGATGGGTTGTGGTGCTGCAGGACGGTTTTCATTCATTCACTTCATCCTGGATGGATGGATGGATGGATGGATGGATGGATGGATGGGTGGATGAGAGGGAGGGATGGATGGATGGATGAGAGGCAGGCCATCGATTCTGACTCTCATGTGACAAAGTGTTGAATTCTCAGAGACAAAAACTGTTTGATTTTCTACTAGAACCAGAAACGGAGGATTAATGTCGTCACTCCAGTGAATAGATGAGAAGTTGAGCGTTTTGTTTTCACTCTGATGTTTAATTTCTCCTTCCACAAACAACATTCCTTCATTTTCCATGTATCTGATGTGATTTCTTTTACTCTGCAGAGAAAATTTCACATTTTGCAGAAACTCGTATATAATTTCTCCTCCCACAGAGTTAAAGTTTCCTTTTTGTTTTCACTCTTGTGATTTTTCCCATGACAGAAACTTTACCAGCTCAGTTCATTCAGAGTTGATCCAGTTTCTCCGTCTTCAGAGTTAAACTTTCCTCGTCGTTCTCTCCTCCATCCTAAATAAAATCCCTCTGTATCGTCTGCCCTCTCTCTCTCTCTTCCCTCTCAGGCTCTTTCCGGTCTCCACTATGACTGATGGGGATTACGACTACCTGATCAAGCTGCTGGCTCTGGGCGACTCCGGCGTGGGGAAGACCACCTTCCTCTACCGCTACACCGACAACAAGTTCAACCCCAAGTTCATCACCACGGTGGGCATCGACTTCAGGGAAAAGAGAGTGGTGAGGCTTCCTCCGCTTTGCTCTGCGCCCAGGACGGGTTACCATGGCGACCGAGGCCGGCTGAGTCACAGCCGCCATGTTTCCGTCCCAACATGGAAACCGATCTGGATAAATTACCTCCAGAAGCAAAAGTTCACCAAGTATTTACAATCAATCGATCGATCGATTGATTCGCTTTGATTCTCATCAATAAGTTACAGCCATGAAGTTAAACCTTCATGATGGACAGATTAGAGCAGCGGCCCAAGGTGGGTCCTGGAGGCCCAAACTGGGTCCTGGAGGCCCAAGGTGGGTCCTGGAGGCCCAAAGTGGGTCCTGGAGTCCCAAACTGGGTCCAGGAGGCCCAAGGTGGGTCCTGGAGGCTGAAACTGGGTCCAGGAGGCCCAAGGTGGGTCCTGGAGTCCCAAGGTGGGTCCTGGAGGCCCAAGGTGGGTCCTGGAGGCCCAAACTGGGTCCTGGAGGCCCAAACTGGGTCCTGGAGTCCCAAGGTGGGTCCTGGAGGCCCAAAGTGGGTCCTGAGGCGTCCTGCAGGGTTTATTCTCTCCCTGCTGGGAGAAACAACATCCTCAGCAGGTCAGTGTTCTGGTTCGGTCTGTAATGACCCATCATTTGATCCAGATCTGTAAAACCAGGGAGGGAATAAAACATGCAGGACGTCGGGCCTCCAGGACCCACCTTGGGCCTCCAGGACCCACCTTGGGCCTCCAGGACCCACTTCGGGCCTCCAGGACCGAGTTTAGACTCCACTGGTTTAGAACAAGATCAAGATTTTACTCTTTAAGATGAGGAAGAGAAAAAATAATCAAGTTTACAGAAAGTAAACTGGTTATGTTTGTTTTTTATTGTTCTTTCGTTCTTATTTTTCTTCTCAGATGATTCGATTTAATCCTGACTGAAAGTTTTCCTCTTCAGGTTTACACGACTTCAAACCCGAATGGAACGACGACCGGAAAAACCTTCAAGGTTCACCTGCAGCTCTGGGACACGGCGGGACAGGAGAGGTGAGGAGGGAGGGATGGAGGGAGGAGGGAGGGAGGGAGAGATGGAGGGAGGGATGGAGGG